TTGCTCCTTTTCCCCAAAACAATAAATTCAAATAATAAAAACCTACAAACAAGAAATCTATCTGTATTAATTATTAAACATAATAAAATGTCAGGTGTGGTTCAGTTAGTATTAAAATAAAAAGAAATTTGTCCAGAGACCTGATTTGTCTCCATCTGCCTGTTTTTTTTCAGGGGGTTTGATATCGGCAACCATTTCTGTGAGTGGATGTACGACTACACCTGCGACGAGTTTCCCTTCTTCAAAGTCAGCCCTCAGAACTACCCTTCAAAAGCCCAGCAGGTGCGGGACGTTTTGGGTCGGGTTTTATTGAGTTTCTCTTTCTAACAGGAGGAAAAAAACATTTATTTTTGTATTTCCTCTGTTTGTGAGCAGCTTCACTTCATTGGAAGCTACCTGCGGGAGTTCGACGGGGGGTTTGACGCTCTGAGCGAAGAGGACCAGAGGAAGCTGAAGGAGGAGCTGTATGTGGAGGTGAACAGGTGAGGCCAGGTGGTCTTCAGCTTGAGACGACTGGAATCAGTAAAATATCCTAACAGTGTGTGTTTCTGACAGGTTCTCACTGGCTTCTCACTTCTTCTGGGGCTTGTGGTCCATCATCCAAGCCCGACTGTCCACCATCGAGTTTGGTTACCTGGTGAGTTTTTGTTTTATTTATTTATTTTTTAATCATCACTTTTAAATATTCCCAAACCCGAAGCTCATCTGCAGATTCACAGCCGGAAGAAATGTGAAGGCAAATATTTACTTTCACTAAAAATGTTGGCTGATTACGGGAAGTTGGGTCATAATCTTTTGTTGCTGTTTGTTCGTCTGCGTCATGGAGGGAGCAGAGTCAACACCGGGGGGTGAGACCAGGTCAGAGTCTGTCTCAGTGGGTTACCATGATAGCTCAGGATTTTATGAACTCTGGGGACGAATGTGGTTTAACGGCATAAAATGTCCAAATACTAACGTTTAAAACAAATAGCATTCATGTCCTGTTAATTCTAAGAAATAGAATTGTTTTTATTTTATTTTTTTTTCTTTTAAAACAAAACTGAAAGTCCAAAAATAATTGCTATTGGTCTCTCCAATATCTGCTGACATGTAACTCACACTTCCTGGATTTTAACCACAAAAACAAAAACAACAGATGTCAATGAAAATGAACGTAAAGAAGACATCAATGTTTTTGGGGAAGTAAGGTTTTTTTGGATGAGCTGGTTATGCAACTGTTGGATTAAAAACTGCCGACTCTGTGTGTTGGGGGCAGGGTGTGTTGTTCTGACACTGTTTCATTAAGAAAATAACAAAGTTATGTCTAAGTGACCCCAACCTGTTTTTTTTTTTTTTTTTTGCCCACATGTGACCCATATTGGATTTTTCTTTTATGACCGTCTGAATTTGACAAATCTGAGTTTTTATATTTGTTCAAATTGCTGTAAATTATTGCGCGGTATGAGGGCCAAAATTAGGACTATTATGCAACCAGTGGTTGCTACATCCTTGTAGCAGGAGGCTATATCTATTCCTAATCCAGCTATTGATCTGATTAATGATAGACCGGCACCGCTAAGTGAGCAGCTGGCTCCGCTAACTGAGAGGTCGGTGCTGGAAAATGAGAAGGAGACTATTTATATTAGCATCAGAGAGACTAGCTGCTAGCATGGATAAGCTGACATTAGCATTGTAGAGGCTAGCGACTTGCATGGGTGAACTGACATTAGCGTTGTAGAGGCTAGCGACTTGCATGGGTGAACTGACATTAGCATTGTAGAGGCTAGCAACTAGCATGGATGAGCCGACATTAGCATTGTAGAGACTAGCAACTAGCATGGATGAACCAACATTAGCATTGTAGAGGCTAGCAACTAGCGTGGATGAGCTGACATTAGCATTGTAGAGGTTAGGAACTAGCATGGGTGAACCAACATTAGCAATGTAGAGGCTAGCGACTAGCATGGATGAACTCACATTAGCATTGCAAAGGCTAGCAACTAGCATGGATGAACTGACATTAGCATTGTAGAGGCTAGCGACTAGCATGGATGAACTGACATTAGCATTGCAAAGGCTAGCGACTAGCATGGATGAACTGACATTAGCGTTGTAGAGGCTAGCGACTAGCATGGATGAACTGACATTAGCAATGTAGAGGCTAGCGACTAGCATGGATGAACTGACATTAGCAATGTAGAGGCTAGCGACTAGCATGGATAAGCTGACATTAGCATTGCAAAGGCTAGCGACTAGCCTGGATGAGCTGGCATTAGCGTTGTAGAGGCTAGTTAGTGTCTAATAAAGTAGGTGAGCAGCCTAGGCATGCTAGTTGCTAGCCTCTCAATAGCTAACGTCAGCTTATCTATGCTAGTTGCTAGCCTCTCCCATGCTAACACAAATGAATAGTCTCCTCATTTACCAGCGCTGGCCTTTCAGTTAGCGGGGCCAGCTGCTCAGTTAGCGGTGCCGGCCTATCAACAATCAGATCAATAGCTGGATTAGGAATAGATATAGCCTCCTGCTACAAGGATGTAGCAACCACTGGTTGCGTAATAGTCTTAATTTTGGCCCTCATACCGTGCCGTAGTAAATGTCCTGAGACTTCACCTTCTTGTTGTGTTTACACTCTTGACTGTTTTGCAGGAGTACGCCCAGGCCAGGTTCGAGGCCTACTTCCAGCAGAAGAAGATCTGGGCGGCCTAATGGGGCGAGACGACCGGGGGGAGATTTGTCGACACATTGAGCCCAAATGTCAGAACGAGGACATGAAGGCCGATAAAGATCCATGCTTTACTTACACTCCCTGCCTTGAAGGGGTCTGCTGCTGCCTACCGTTGGTACCCCCCCACCCCCCCAACAATCCATTGCAACTCGAGATTTAGCCCGTGCAACCACACGAAGGTCCAACAAAAAGAGGAAAGCGCAGACTTCCATTTCGACTAACCTTCATTAGCAGTGATATGTTGGGATCATATCTGTAGGATGACRGGTTTGAGTAAGTGAACGGTGGATTTGGGTTCCCGTTAGACCAGCTGTGTTAACATTGCATCAATGTGTATGTATAGATCATTCCCTGATGGAAATGCTCTATTGGAAAGAACCAAAATGCAAACTGCTCTGTGTAGTTTTGCTCACTAAGGCAGCCAGATGCTAACTATGTACAAATATATAAATATCTAGACGGTGATATGCTAGTAGTGTGGCTCGATCCTTCAGAGACGGACTGAGTGAGCTGGTGGAGCTCTGTCTTCATCTAGAAGTCTGAATAACTTTACACACTTGCTGTTTGACCTTTTTTTTTTTTTTTATGGGTGTGTTTGACATGTCAAAGTCAGGGCACATATTTTATGTTTTATGTTTCTRAAGATGTGAATAATATCCTGAGTGGCTCCACACAACCAGAATGAAAAAGACCAGTTTTTCATCGATTATTATTACGTTTTTCCTAACGTTTTAATACTCCAACTTTTGTGGAACAGAGATGTGAAGCGTTTTTTAGAAGTTATTTCTGAGTACTGTGACGAGGAGATCCATGTTTATAAAGTTTATACACTAAGTTTGAGTAACATTGGTAATCCTGTACTAAAAAAAGAAAAAAGCTTTACTCAGTGCACTCGACAATGGTTTCTTATTGTGGTTAACGGATTCTTTGGTGTTTTGGCCACAGTGCCTTCTGTCAGAATCCACAATCACCCAAGTGGTTATAATCAATAGTCACTGTTCATATTTGCACAAACTCTTACTTTCTTGAAGGGGAATTTAGAAAACCGGAACRTTTATTGTCCAGTCGTAGCTTGTTGCACGACCGATATCTCCTTCATCTGACAAAAATCTGACTTTTAAATCCGAAATCCATCACTGCGACGAGTAAAGTTAATCCTCAGAATAGTTGAACATTAAAAGTTGTTGAATAAAACACCGTCAGATCGTTAGCAAACACTTACAGACTGCTGTTTACCTGTTTGTACCACGTTCTTCACGTTGCCTTTAAACAGTAATCTTTAGAATTCTAGTTTATTTTATCTGCACTTCTGATTTTTATTTTATTTTTCCCACTCCTTTTTCCTCAATGATTGGTACCAAAGGCTTGTTTTTCAGTTTGCAGTTACAGTATTRGTGCCCAATGGTAGAAATTTTACCTAAAATCTTCTGCATTTGTAGCAAATAGGGATGAACGTGCAGACTGAGCCAACCTAAAACAACAAAAATCATTACGGCTTAAATTGGATATTTTGTGGGAAATGTTTTTTTTATCATCTCTGTTCGTTTTGACTTATTTTGAGATAATACCTGGTGAGTTTAAGGTTATTTAATGTAACCAGGCAGATTAAAGAGTTATTGTTTAGATTTTGTTTTTTTTTTTGTTTGTTTTTTTTGCCACTAAATATAAAAACTGTGCTGCCACATATGCAGACTAGCTTCATCTGTTCTCATTCCTCCTCCGGACTCTCCTCCTGTTTAGCTGTGACCCGTTGGGATTTTGGGGGGTCGTGAAGCCCCCCGTGGAACGCTGCTTCTCTTAAAAAGACTTAGAAACTGAGCAGAACTGATTTATACTGGAACTACAGTTCAGTAAAGGCATTTGAACATAGATTGTGGAACTTTGAAGGTATATAAATATATACATGTAATTTTTTTAAAGACATTGCAGAACTGTGAATATGTTAGAATGTCAGTTTTATTTTATATGCGTGTTTATTTATATTTCATTTTGAACCTGTTTATTGTGTCAATTTAATTTTCCTGCAGACTGTGCAGTGGGTTTTACTGGACACACCTACAGTGTTACTGGTACATCTTTACTCTCTGGAACTCTTTCTTTAAGCTAATCACAGATGTTTGGTTGTTTTTTTTTTTTGTTTTGTTTTAATGGAACACTTGCCCTGACTTTGTTAAATTGTTAAAGAAAAAAACAGATTTCTTTATGTGTAAATAATCCACATTCCTTATTTTTTACTTAACGTGTACATTGTGGTTCCTCGTTGAACTTGAATTAATCCTCACTTATTGAATGAACACACTCACACTGCTGTTTCTGTTTTATCTAATACTTGCTAACAAATAGTTGTTCTGTGGTCACAGCCGCTCAGATTCGACCCCTCTGTTATCTATGCAGCGTGACTGAAAGCGTCTGAACGCACACTGACACAAAAAGATTTGGGTTTAAGTGCTGCAGCACAAAATGACCTTGGCTGTACATTTATTGATCACAAATAAAGTTCAAAAGATGACACAACTGACTCTGACAGCTTGATTTGTTTGAACATTTATTTACAGCGGGTAAAATAAGTATTGAACACGTCACCATTTTTCTCAGTAAATATATTACTAGTAACTTCATTTCTGGACATTTATGGTTTGATTTCTTTGTATGTATGGATCACTTGGGTTGTTACCGACATCTGGTGAAAATTTCATGTCATTAGCACCTCTAGTAATATATTTACTGAGAAAAATGGTGACGTGTTCAATACTTATTTTACCCGCTGTATATATATTATTTTTTCCCCTCCACGGGAGAATAAAGGCTGTTTCTATTCTATTCTATTCTATTCTATTCTATTCTATTCT